ACACACACACACACACACACACACACACACACACACACACACACACAGGGGGGCAGAGGGCTCTGACCCCACACTGCCTCCATAATCTCCAACAACTTGAACTGGAAAACACATTTGAACCGTGACAGTGTCGTTTTTGTGTTTGAACAATCGCGTCCGACGCACAACTGATGTGTGACACGGCTTTGTCGTCATGTCCGCTGCGACTATTTGCCAAAAAGGCTGTTTGCAGTTCACTAATTTGTACTTATTTGAAAGCAGACATAAGGCACACACTGAATTCAGCCGTAGAATAAATGTACAGAACAACCTGCTCCTTTCCTGGACTCCGAATCAAGTTCAGATGAGCTTAAGTGACTTAAAGTCCTGGTTTTGGGTCGTCAGCCTCTGTCACGGTTCTGGAGGAGTTTGGTCCCTCTCTTTCTTCCATCGTTGCTTCAGCTCTCTGAGGGTCCTCACAGCATTCAGTAAGGCGGAGGTCTGGACTCTGACTGGACCCTTCAGCTCCAGGATTCTGGTCTTTTTCAGACTCTCAGTTGTGGATCTGCTGCTGGATTTGGGGTCTTTGTCCTGTTGGTGGTCCAGTTTCAGCCTCACATCTGACTGAATAGTTCATAGTGGACTCCCAAGTCCTGATGCTGCAGAGCCCAGATCATCATGCCTCCCCCACCGTGCTGACATGCTGGGTTTGCTTCTCTGTGCATTCTGAGCAAACAGATCCACTTTGATCTGCTCTGTCTAAAGGACTCTGTTCCTGAAGCCTTTGCTGCCAGGCTCTTTTTCCAGAAAACCATGTTCGTACATATTTTGTCCATGATAGTTTGTCCAGTGAGGTTAAAAAAAAAAAAGGTTTGAGGTAAAAAGTTAAAGGTTAACTTTGATATATGTGTTAGGATTGCTGATTATTCCCTGAAAACATAAGAGCCCTGATGGTTTATGAGCGTCAGATGACTTTTCAGGGTTGTCTGTCAGAGCCGGATCAGCTGATTGGCTACTCAGGCGCTAAAGATGATGTTTTGATGAAAGTCCGTCCCCTTAGAACAGTCGACAGGTGACTTTCTTATTGGTCTTGACCAGATTTGAATGGGTTTGGCCCCTCGTACACATAATGTGACAGCTGACTGTCTGCTAAGCGGCCCGGAGGCAGCAGCCGTTAATATAAAGGCTCCCTGGTGGTGGTGGTGGTGGTGGGGGGGGGTTCGTCGTGTTAAGTGGAGCCCTGCTGACACACGGCGGCTCGTTGGGTCGCACGTGTTTGACAGACAGAATGCGGGACGGTTATCTGGCCCTGAGTGATGAAGTGTTGGCCTGCCAGCCGGCTGAGGATCTGATAAGAGATTGAATTAGGCCGGCGGTGGCTATGCCAGCCATGGAGCTGTGTCCTTTAAAGGAACATTGTGTAGTATTTTAAGTATTTTATTAGCTAAAATCATTGTCTTCATTTCTAAATGGGTCCTCATTTGGTGTAAAATGACCTCTGCAATGATCTGACTTATCCTCATAAGGAAGAATTTCCTATCTGTACACACACAGGACGGGTAAGTCCACGGAGGTTTCCATGGCGTTCCGCCACTTTGAAAAACTATAACAGCAGAGAGGGACATAAAGCACTAGTCTGCCTGAAGTGGGAGGCGTTCGCTTGTCCCTTTTATGCTCGTCAATGCCCGGCAAATGTAAAAGCTGAATCCTATGTAGAGTTTCTACTGTATATGGAGTCACTTAGGTTCTAGCACTGCCTCCTACACAGTGAGACTTTTTCCGGAAACCTTCCTGCAGAGCATCTTGTGGCCCGGAGCGTGTCCCTGTCTGCCGAGCAGCCGACTAACCCCCGTCCTGCCTCTTTCTTCCCTCCAGACAGCCTTCCGAGACGAGTGCAAGTTCAAGGAGAGCTTGCTCCCCAACAACTACAACGCCTACGAGTCTCTGCTCTACAGAGGCTCCTACATAGCACTGAGCAAGCACGGCCGTGTGAAGAGGGGCAACAAGGCCACCACCGCCATGACTGTCACGCACTTCCTGCCCCGAATATGAGGAGGGGAAAAAAACAAAGAGAAGAAACTGGCAATAACTAACTTATTTGCACACGTGGATTATTTCCCAGGTAACGGGCGTCCCGCACAGTGGGAAACTGCAGAGGAAAGAAACAGCTATATCTGATAGTATTTATTCACACTTTATATGTATATTTGGGTAGCTTACTTTGTATTAGGAGTTCTAGAAATGCCATTCTGTGCTGCTGTTATGATTTTCATGATTTTGTGATATGAAGGGGGGGGGGACAGGCGCCGCCTGGCCCTCCTTTTTCTGGGTGTCTGGTCGGGTCCCCGGCAGTGGCTGACAGTTAGTCTATTTGGAAATGAAATGGACACGTTATTACCTCAAAGAACCCCTTTCCTGAGGAGAAAGTGTAGCAAAAAGAAAAACGCGCGCATGCATTTTGCCGAACAAAAATAGAGGAAAAGAAGAAAACAAATTAATGGCTGTCTGCTGTAGCCTGTGCTGTTGTCCTCCATTTTTAACCTGGACGTTTTTTTAAATGTAAAACGGCCGGGAACGTTTCTGCCACTGTCGGGGGAGCCGGCTGTGGGTTTTCTTGCTTCGTCATGAGGTGGCAGTGCCTTGAATTCTGTCTTACGCCCCCCCCCCCCCCTTTCGCCCCCTTGCATGCGTGGGACGCGGCGCTCCGGTCAGAAGTAGTGCGACACCAGCGGGCGGCCCAGTGGCCGGAGGCTTCCAGGTTTCTCCTCTTCTCTGGAAACAGAATAGAGCTGTTTCAAGAATTGGTGGAGCCTGCTGTTAGCGGCCGGGTCTTGAACGCGTCACGCTGCGGTGAACATGTGACTGAATGTACGGATTTAGCCTGGAAAGTTCTGTTCAGGCAGCTGGAGGTGAAGTCCTCTAGAAGACGTTTGGCCTCTGATCCAAGAGCTCTGAGAGAGGGGTTCAGAAAACCCTCTTTGTTAACCTGGAGAAAACATGACTCAGCAGGTCTCAGACAGAAGCTGTCTCCTCCTTCCAGAGCACTTTTAGGAACAACAGCCAGAAGATTCAGCTCTCAGCTGCCCTCACCTGACTCTCACTTCAAAGAGACCCAAACCACTCTGACAGGGAGTTACCAACCCGTCAGAGACCCCTAACCACCATTAACCCCCCCAGGTGACCTCCGTGGCCCCCCAGCAGGAGGAACCAGAGCCACCTTTGGTTTTCCCTGATTCTTTAGTTCCACCTACAGTATATTAACCTCAGAGCTCCACCATCAGTTAGAGCTGAAGAAGCTTCTGGATATGAGGCCAAACGTCTTCTAGAAAACTTCACCTCCAGCTGCCTGGACTGGACTCTTCCAGCGGATTGTTTATTTCAAAGTTTGAGGCCGTTTATGCGCTGTACTGATTGGTCGCTGAGGCAGAGGAGGGAATACGGGGAACGAAAGAGTTCCTTCTGGTGCAGAGTCCAATCAGGCGTTCTGTTGCACACCTGAATGCGCGTGAGGCTCAGACGGAGCAGAAACGGAGCGAAGGACTTAACCGACGCTCCACGGGCCCTGAATGTCCTCTTAACCTGTCGGGGGGGTGGCGTCTGACCTGTGCGTTGAACAGGTTTGCATTGAGAGGCGTTTTTTCCAACTAAAACACACGGGCAGTTACTCACATACTGAGATAAGATGCTTTTAAGTTTGATTTCCTTTCCGTTCTTTTATTTTTTTTTGACACTTTGAACGCTATCAGAGCAGCTCTGTGAAATGTACTTCTGTAGCAAAGGCTCCTCCCGTCAGTGGGTTAGCACATTTGACCTCATGCCCTCTCTGCCGTTACTTTTAAGGACTGCTGAAAAGTCTGTGGGCCGGGTTCCCAGCGGGAGCGGGAAGCACTCAGGAGGACGTGTGCCCGGTCACGTTTGGTTTCTGCCAAAGTGGACGATAGAGACGGTATCTGATCAATTTGCCCCGGGTCAGGAATAACGGGCCATTGTGTGACTGTGCAAGCTGAGGCCTGCTGAAGGCAGATGGGGGGTGGGGGGGTGGGGGGTAATGTGTGGAAACTCTGCACTTATTGGGGCTTCAGCTGGTTGTTTTTGTAGCAACATGCCATGAAAAATGAATGAAATGCTTCCAGAAAAAAAGGGACACTTGAGCTGAAATGACTCAAAACTGTGATTCAAAGAAGCAACTCCCAGTTTGACAGTTTGATGTCTGTTTTGTTTGTTTGTTTGTCTGTTTGTTTTTTATGCTGATCACTATTTCTGAGCACTGAACTGATGATTCTGACTGATTGGCCTTTTTGTTTCAGTCGGATTGGAAAACGATCACTGGTTGCTTTTTTTCCCTTCTTCTGTGATTTAAGAGGAAGGGAGTTTATTTGTGAGAGTTTATTTTGATGGGAAAACACTCGGGGGGTGGGGTGGGGGTGGGGATTGCGCACTTTCCATATTTCTCTGGCTTTCTTCGAGCCGACGTGAGATCAAAACGACTTGCGCTGACGTGTGGACTGCTGCATGTTATTTCTGGCTCATCCTGGACGACTCGGTCAGCACAAAAATGATTTGGGGGGGGGGGGGGTTGGGTTGGGTTGGGGTGGGGTGGATGGGGATCTGTGCAACTTTACACGGTATCAGACTTTCTAACTGTCAGGAAACAACACTGTAACTTTTGCATGATGCTGTCGGTAATCAGGAGGGGTGCTGGACTACAGCAGTGACCGGAGAAGACCGTTCATGGTGGGAAAATATCCCTGTTCAACATTACTTCCTTAATTCCTCATTATGCATGTAGAGTTCTGAGTGGATTCGGTATGTCTTACCCCTTTGATTAAAGGATCTGGTGTCCGGATTCTTGCCATTGTGCTGGTTTTAAAATGTGTTGGTTCACAGGGAACTGGAGGTCTGTGGGCGGATCTGGGATCAGATTTGTGTGTGTGTGAGTGTGTGTCCCTGTGTGCCAGCAGCCTTTGTGTTTCTCTCTCAGTTTTCTATTCCTGCACTGAGGGGAGAGTGCTTCCTCTGAGTCCCCCTCCTCTTTTTTAACATATACCTCACCTTCTGCCTTAGTTCCGATTATTGAAATGATTGTAAATTAGTTTGAAACGACAGACTTCTCCAATCATTTGGTTTCTGAAAAATATGATGACGATTAAAAAAAAACAAAAACAAAAAAACTATATTACAAATGGTTTTCCTTTTATTTTTGTACGTATGTGCTGTGCACAGCAGTCAACTGTATTCCTGAGACGACAATAAAAGACGTTTTTTAAAATATTTTGTTTGGGTTCTTTCCTATTTGCTTGCTTTGAATTGGGAACTCTGAGGAAGCTGATTAGTCACACGTCCAGTCAGAGTTGTGCTCTGTGAGCGTGGAGCGCCCCCTCCTGGAGGAAATGAAGGAGGGCAACACTTTAACAGGTGACAGAGAACCTGTGCAGAAGGCAGACTATTTACCACGATACTTAAACTTCAACTTTGACCTCTTGACCTCATCTTAGACCCTATCGGACACTAATGTTTGAAATAAAAATAAATGGTTTTTTATCAATGTTCAACCAATCATTTCCTGATTGTGTAATAAAAGTTTTTAATTAATTAACTGGATCTTAAGAACCAAATTGCAGAGAAAACATAAATACACATTTTCAGTACAAAGATAAACCCACCGTCCCTCTATGAAGAAAAACTTCCCTCACCATGATTAAGTCTAGCTCCGAAACACTGACAGCGTATATCTCAGAGGAAGGAAAAATGGAAACCAAATAAAAGCTGGTGTTCCTACTCCCTGATTGGCCTGATGGGGCTCCATGCACTGAATATATTACAGTTTGACCCTCAGTGGAACACAGGATTCTGAAAACTGGGGTCTAAACTCTCCATTTTGGAGCAGTTCTACAGAGAAATTCAGCACAACAAAGTTAAAGCAAATGTGATCTTTAAACTGGCAGATTTGCTTTGTGGTTCAATCCACAGCCGACTTCATTTGGACCCAGGGCCTCCTTCTATCTGCATCTCTGAGTTTTTACTCCACAGGACAAGAAATAAGGAGCAGCCACAGAAAAAACCGCCTGAGGATACATGGACACACAGGAAGACCGGTGGGTTTGCCATCAGCTGGAATCCAGCTCTCCCTTTTTTGTACAAGCTGAGAAAAATTAAATAAAAAGCGCATTCTCTGGCCATAGTAAATCTAATGTTGGTTTATGACAACCTAAAATGGATTACTATACATTTGTACTTAAATGTGAAATGGTACGGATAAGAGATGAATTCACACATTGCGTATTAATGCGAAAGAAATGGGGCTATTTCTAAAATAATAGGAAACGATGGTTATAAATCAGTAAAAGGTGAATATCAGAATGAGGCGTTTCAGGTTCCTAATGTTCCACTTTCTTAAAAAGAAAAACAACTGGGCTTTAGATTTGGATACCAAACTGCTGAAGATAATCAGTGTGAACGGACACCAATTTGGAATCGTTTTACATCAAAGTGACACTTCACTGCTGTTTGCACTCGTTTCTGTGGTGTAATGTTCAATCTGGTGGTCATTCATTAAAAAAACTAAGACTGTGTGAAAGCAGTCGCATATCAATGAGCACTGATAGCCGGATGATTGTTAAACATTTCTCTACGTCAAATTAGAGCCTTTCAAAATGATTTCAGACTCTTGAAAACTGAAAAAAAATCTGTAAATATTCAGGGAGGTGTTTGTTTTTGCATTATGATTTCAACAATGATTTCAACAACCCTGAAACTTTCCTCTAACGCAGCGTCCTAAAACATCAAGAGCTAATTAGTAAAACGAGGTCTAAAAATAAAGACAGAGCAGCGGAAGTGTTCACTGTTAATTGATAAGCGCAGAATTAATCATTCTCCTCGGATGTGACTCAGCAAAGTGCAACGCATCACCCAAACAGCTATTAAAACTCTTTCCATACGCCAGCTCCTGCCTTCGTGCACGTGTCCGGATCTCAAAGTGTCCCAGAACTCCTCAGCTTTTCAAAGAATTTAATCAAACATTGATCAGTTCAATTAAAAGTGCATATGGAACTATGAGAATGGGATTTTTTTCACTGTGTTGGTCTTCTTTTCACTCCTTTGCAGGATTAATCTCTGCTTTTATCTATTTCCAAGTTGGAGCAAAGTGGACAATCTGTGTTTAGATCGTTCTTTAAAGAGAAAGCACTTATTTTCATATGATGGCACGTCTTCTCAACTGGCCCTCCAGAAAGGTCATAGTTAAGATTATTCATGGGTTCTGTTTGGGCAACCCTTAACCAGAGAGAAGCAGGTAAGCTTGGAGTCATTTTGGTAAATGAGTTAGCCAGTTTATTGACCCCCTGTTTAAATAGCCCTGTTGGACTTTCTCCTCCTCTAGTAGCGCCCCGCACAGAATCCTGAGCATTCGAGCTTTGGGACGGCGATTCATCCCCACTGACCATGCGACCGGCTCTCTTCTCCCTCATCTGTGTGATCGCTCATGTTTCTGTGACGGTGGATTGCAGACACAAGCTCCGGAGAACACGGCTGCAACCACACCGAACGGGCCGTTTCCACGCCGACACACATGCAGATGCGGCCGGCGGTACCGGGCGCTTTGACCGGGAGCGGAGCGGGTCAACGAGAGGGGCAGCAGACAGAGGCCTCCTGGGTGAGTCTGCCGGTGGACACCCTGAATGCTCTCATTACAGGCGGGAGAAGTCTGTCCCAGCTAAAACAGCCTTTTAAAGGACAAGCATTTTCAGCTCAGCTTAGTTGATCAGTCAGAGGGGAAAAGGACCGACTGGTGTAGATGTTTGAAAGTTAAACACAAAAACACTCTAATGTATGTATGTATGTATGTATGTATGTATGTATGTTTTATTTTTTATACAAAAAATCTTTTTATATGTAATTTATTTTTATACAAAACAATTATTTGTATGTCTACATTTTATTTTTAAACCAAAAAATATTTGATGTATGTATGTCTTATTTTTATACAAAATAGTGTGTTTGTATGTAAGTGTTTTATTTTTATACCAAAAAATTATTTCGTATGTATGTATGTATGTATGTATGTATGTATGTATGTATGTATGTA